TTATTACCACCGAAAAAGCAATCCGCCAATCGACTAACTACCAGGTTCTTACTTACCGTTAGGAGTCTGGAGTAAGGAAACTTGCTCAACATTTCTCGCTGCCGGGAATCGAACATAGGCCTTTCGCTTGCAAGGCGAGTGCTCTAACCACTGAGCTAAAGGACTCCACATATACAATCAACAGCAGAATTTTTCCCTTTGAGGATAGACCTTTCCAACTACAAACTAAGACAAGGTTCTACACCCCACAGATGTGAATACATGTTTTCAGTGTTCTAGCCAAAAAGAGTTTCTTATCATTTACCACTGCTAAAAGATTAAATTGATGATTGCTCAAACTGGAGAAAGTATTACACTGGCTTTAGAACATTTAAATCAGACCCTAACCGTGTCTACATGCTGTTGCATATACTTTTGAAAATAAATCTTCTAGCTATTGATCTAATAGATCAATTTATTAACGTTTAATTATCTTCAAAAATTAACTCAGTGTCAAAACTGAGATAAAGCATCTTTTCTTTACATACAAGCTGTTTCTATCAAATTTTTAAAAAATGTCTTTCCAAGTTGTGCATAATTTCCTCGTTGAAAGGTAAGACAGGCAATCTGCCAAAATCACACCATAAATGGTCACTAGGAAGTGTTCATCCATCAATTATCTACGCCCGTGTGAGGAAATGTCTAAAATTCAGCTTGCATGCCTAAAATTAGGAACTTATAGTGTAATATGTTGCCTTTTTCTTACAAATGAACAGATCATTTTGGATCAAATGTAATTTAAATGTGGATAAATGCAAACTGCATTGTAGAGCCAGGGGCAAGAAAGGTCAAATTTGAGTCCAAGGTATCTATTCGATTGGAAGATCTTTGGCAGGGTAACTGTGGGGTATTACAATGAGGCTTCGTCCTTTATACATCCTGCTGATTCTGTCCATCTAGACTCATATATGAAAAACGACTTTGTGAGATACCAGTCTATACCACCGGCTCACAAACAACAATGACATTTATATAGCACCTTTCATATCAGGTGGACAATAGATCTTAAGATAAGTTTTGAAGATGTGAAGGGAAGGGGTGAAGGTCTCCAAAATGTAATTCCATAGAGCAGGGGCAAAATGGCAGAAAGCTCGCACAGCAATGGGTGGGTGGATTAATTGGGCAGAGGACATGAAACAGGCCAGTACTTGCTGAATGGAGGGAATACCAAGTTTTGCAAGACGTCACACGTGTAGGGTGGAGGCTAGTGGAAGAGTTTGAAGAAGCCTTAGGATTTTGAATTCAATCCACTGATTGGGAATCAGTGAAGCCATAAGATGGGGGTGGTCTGTAGCTTATGTAGGGAGGAACTGGGGAGTCTGGTTTACAGGACTGTGGAATAGATGTGCGTAGAGGTGATGAAGGTCTCTGCAGCCACCGGGAGAGTTTATGAAAGAAGTGGTGCAGAAATGAGGGAAAGCTGAGCAAGTGATAGTCCACAAGTTAGAACTCATCGCGAACTTGATACCTAACAAGCAAGAGTAGGATGGAGGGTGTAGCCTGAGCAATGCCACACGTGATTATGCAGGGGTAAGACAGACAAAGTGAAGTCGTTGGGATAAGTAAGGGTGAAATCTCAGGAAGGACAAAGCTATGGAGGTGGAGCAAGGAGGAAAGATAGTGGAGAAAGATGGAGTGGTTAGCTGGAAATGGAATTGGAGGGGCTCAAAGAGGGAGTGGTGGGAGAGGAAGGGCAAGTTGAAGATGTTTTGGTATCTGGAGTGCTTGGAAGGTCAAGAATTGCTGTGCGCAATTGGCTGCCGCATTTCGCCCACAAAATATACTGTCAATTCACTTTACAGCATATTCTGTGAAGCTCTTTGAGACGTTGAGAAGACATGAAAGGCGCTATATTCAAATGCAAGGTTTATTACTATCATAAGTGAGAGTTTAAGGAGGATGCTGACTGTGGTTTTGAAAGAGGGTAGGTACTGCACCAAAGAGGAGAGAGAGAGAGAGGCTAATAAAGCAACACAAATCATCCTCAGCAGAAACAGAGTGAAAGAAAAAATGGAGGGGAGGACTCACCAGACGAATAAAATATATGAAGTTACATGAAACCCAACACAGGACTTGAAATGGCAACTAACTAGAAAATACAAAGGTTTATTCCCCCCGCCCATAAAAATCAAATAAATATTCAACCCACCCAGTAAACATTCATAATCCAGCAGACTGAAGCAGGAAATTAGGCATTTTGCAGGAAACATCCAATTTCATGTTTCCAAGCAACTTGTTCATAGAATACAAATTACATCATGTGTCAATTAAGTCTTCATCATACACTTCAAGACCTGCGTTTAACAATCACAGCAATTTTCTTTCATTGATGGGCGGATAAGAATGAGTATAAGACACAATTGCGTAATATACAGAGAAAAGCGATTGATGAACTGTGGGCTTGATTTTGTTTGAGTTAAGTTTGATTTAAATTTTACCACTAAAACAAAACAGTATGGTACTATGTTAAATTAAATTTAAGCCACCATTAAAAATGTAGCTCATGCTGATATTTACAGATTGCCATTTCCTACATAGGTTTTCTAGTGTCAGCAGTTTTTAATGACCATAAGTGGTTTGTTTTGTGCAAATTTGCCCACAAAAAATACAGTCACTTCACTTTATCACAAAGCATTTTGACACGCCTCAATGACATGATAAAATGCTTATATCATATGCAAAGATTTTATTACTACAATATTACAATTTTATTACTACAATAATGACTTGCAGATACCAAATAGCCCACTTACAGGTTAAAAAGATGAGGCGCAGAATAAATTGCCTACTGAATAAATTGTCCAGCGTGAACCCTGAAGAAACAATCACCTTCAGGGCCAATTTTGTTGTTTCTAATGTGAAGGAACCATGTCTGGCAAATGTCAGCACAGTAGGAGAAGGTCTGGAACATACATTTTTAGATGGTATGTTGATACTCTTAGCAAAAGAGTTAAGTAATATGTTAGTGACACAGAAGATCATACAATTCATATTTTAGTTCCAACCACTGATTACATCTGAAGCCTGGCCAACACATTCTTTCTGTATTTAGTTAGAAGTACACTTGCCTGAAGCAATTTTTAAACAGTGGGATTTCTTTCACTTGTGGGACTCGAGGTTTAAATCCAGTCCAGAATGATGGGAAAAAATTCTCTGTTGACTACAAGGGGAAAGAAGACTCATCATTCTAAGATAGATCTAAACATAAAATTCAGAGGTGAAAGCATTGTAGAAATTGAAGTCACTACACCACCAAGTTTTTCCTCTGTGAAAAGATTCTTTTAACATACCATAATCACTAAAACCTTGAGACTGTTGCAACACATGTGCTCCCAAACTACTTTTCAAAGCACACCCTGACCCTCATTATACAGGAATAGTTAAGAAGCTACTTGTCAGGGCTACTTAATGCAGGGTTTACCACACTATGCCATTCTGAACTACATCATTTTCAATTACATCATAGACCAATTAGAGTTAATAAGAGCACTGTACTGCAGCTATTGACATAATCCATGACATTTTCATTTTGTTTAGGGCAGAGACGGACAAACTATTTTCAGCTTTTCCTACTTCCAACAACAACAACCATATGTAGATATGTTCCAATGTACATTTTATGAAACATGCCGACTTATTTTGAAGGTTCTAAATGGATTAAGATCATATTTAAGTACTTTTTGAAAGGATCATCTTGGAGCTAGAGCCCTCATTTTCCTACACTACCTATTTCTCTAAAAGTTTTCAGAAAACACAAGTGCAAGAAAATTCACTACTTAGTGTTGAATTTTAGCCATAACAAAATAAAACTATTGGTGGTAAATTATCCATTGAAAAAATGATGGTCCCAAAAACACAGCTGTCCAAATCTATTTTCCCTACCTGTTGCTACGAATTTTTGTAAATGGGAAGTGTCAAAGTTTGGTTACTTAATTTTTTATATACAGTACTTAATATAACAGGATGCAGCCAGAATAAATATATTGAAGACAGATGACCTCGGTGTTTTGAGAGATGTGGGAGTAATTGTACTAGGATGCTAATATTCCTAAGGTTGTATAATGTGTGCTCATAGCTCAGGAAAGTATTAACGTTCTACGTTTGAACTCAACTAACCAGTTTCCAAGATGCTCTATCTATACAATGAACAAAAACGAAACCAGATAACATTTGACTTATTAAACCTAACATTCAAACAGTTCTCCAGTAAATAAAGGTCAAAAGATGTTTTTAAAAAAAGTCTCCCTAAAATAGAGAATAGATGCCAGTGACTCCCAAACAAACAGGGTGGGGAAACAATCTGAGAGCCAAACTTGAATCATACCTGAACTAGTCGTAGCATGCAACTTCGATATTAAACTCAACTTGGGCAATTTAAAACTACAAACATCGGAAGAATTCCTGACACTTGCAAATTAACGCTTCTTTCGGGTGAGGGGAATAAAGAATTAAACAAAAAAAAATTGTCAAATGTATTAATAGCCCACCCCGCCTCCCAGCCCTAAATAATTACTCACAAGAGAAAATGCACATTACATTCACGAAACATCCCCACCCAAACTTGGTTCCATCAGCGGACTAAGGAAAACGCTAGAGCTTTTACGCGAAACGTGGCAATTTCCTAACAACCTGGAAGCTTGAAATAAAATCTGTGTAACCACCGAAAAATCAAACGTAAAGCGGACGGAGGAAGCAGACTTAGAGAAGTTTTAAAGCGGACCGTACAGCGGGGTGACGCCTTGACAGATGAACGCACTGGATTTTTACTCCCAACAGCTCCCTTCAACCAAACCCCCCACATCTCCCACTGCACCACATCCCCGCATTACAGCTCGAGCTGTGAGTGCAAATGGGGGACTGTCTGTGCTGATAAAGCTTAAAGACACTGTATATAAAATTAACCCCGAGAGAGTCAAACCAGTGACAGCTCAAGCACTGAACACAAAAAAAAGGCCACTCACCCCGACCAACACCGTGTCCTCCCCCTGAAATTTGGAGGAATTTTTATCTCCTCGACAGACCTCCGAGTTATTGAGCGGCCTGAAGCGGCACATCACTTTTATACTGCACTCCGCCGGGTCCGCCATTGTCCCTTTTTTTAAAAAAAAACTGTCGTTATTTCCTTTTCACCCGCATCAGCAGCAAAACAATAAATAAGATATCTGAGACGGTTCCACGTTAGTGTTTGTCTTGTCTCGCGCTTCCCCCGCCCCCTCCGGCGTTTCGATAAAAAGCTTCCTCCGCCGGCTGCAGAGGGAATTGAAGGGGTGAAGGAAGGTGGTGGAGGAGGTGGTCCTGCTCCTGACGGCCACTTTTTTTTCCCCCCCTCTGTCCTCTTCGCCTTCACTTCCGATCCAACATGGCCACCATTAAAGACCGGCGAGCGCCCGGGCCACGGCCTCGCTCTGGCTCCGCGGGAGGAGGGGAATGGGCACCAGCGCGCAGGCGCGACCCCCTCGTGACGTCACCACTGCGGAGGACGTGCGCGCGCCGCTGCCCCGGTAACCGCAAGTCAAACGTCTCTTTCCAATATCTCGCGTGTAAGAGTCACACCCGGAAGCCACGTGAACAAAATCACTTCTTGTTGTGGTGTGTGTGTGAGAGAGAAAGAGAGAGAACGAGCGCGGGAGGAGGAATGGAAGGGACTTGGTGCTTGCATTCGCCAGGAGGGGAGAGAATAAAGTAATAAAGGAGGCGGCGTGAAACCACGACACAGGAGGAGGAGGAGCCGCCGCGACCTCGCTCCTCGAGTGAGACGCTGCCCGGAAGGATTGTGGGTGATATGGCAATCACGTGGCGCTCACTGGCAGCGGATGCGCTGAACGGATGACATCATCATGCGCGGCGGCTCAAACGTCGCGAGATTTCGGCCTCGCCGGCGGGGCTGGCGCGGCGTTCGGTCCGATGGAGGAGGGGACCGCCCCCCCACCGCCGCCTTGTCACGTGACCCAAAGCAGGCACGTGCCTGGCTTGGCTGCTGAGCTCACTGTGGGGGGAGGAGGGGATTCCTTTGGCTGAGATGAGTTGCATTGGCCCAACGGGAGACGTCGAGGCAGTTCCGTTGCGACTCTGCCGTCGCTTTGCCGGCGCAGCCTCAGCAATGCCGTTGGGTCGGGCGCGATACTCGACTGCGAATCGACGGCCTCAAAGGCCCGGACGTTTGCCCACGTTCACGTTCCTGGAAATGATCCCTGCCTTGTGGGAGAATAATAATAATAATACTGGAGTCCTGTAGCTCAGTGGTTAGAGCACTCGCTTTGCAAGTGAGAGACCTGAGTTCAATTCCCGGCAGAGGGCGAAACCTCGGGCAAGTTTCCTCAGTATCTCTGCTAATCGTGTTAAAATCTATTTTATCCCATTGTGCCTGTGCTGGCTCTAAAAAACGCTATCTGTTTATTCCCATTCTCATACCCTTTTATATTTCTCCTTTTCAAATATTTGTCCAATTTCCTCTTAAAAGGTAACACTGTAACTCCCCTCAAACTGTACGAACACAGCTGCTTCCTTCGCCCTACCTGCCCCACCATCAGATGTTGAGCTTTCAGCCTATCTATGGAGTGCTGTCATGAAGTGTTTAGCCGCTCGCCTCGCAAGTGAGAGGACTCGGGCAGGGCAAAACTTGGGCAAGTTTCCTTACTTCACACTTGCCAATCAATCTGCCAATCGACTACTTGTTAGTCGATTGGCAGATTGTTTTTCCAGGGATAATAATCCCTGCAAAAAAATAATAATAATGAGGTCACTCAATCCACAACTGTTTGTGGGACACTGCTCGACATCACGGATCAACATCAAGATTCTCTTGTTTGTTTTCAAATCACTTGATTCCCTTGCACTTCCCTACCTATGCGACCCCCACCTCCCATTCCACCAACCGCTGCCTCCACTCAGCTGGCTCTGGCCCCCTATTAGCCCCTTGCGTGCTCAGTTCCACTATCGGTGGCTATGCCTTCAGCCACTACAACAACAACAACAACAAGATTCCATTTATAAAGCGCCTTTCACGTCAGGAGGACGTCCCAAGGCGCTGCACAGTTGGGTCATGACCCGAGCCGAGGGGAAATGGTGAGGGGAGGGAAGGGAGGGAGCGAGGAGGGGGAAGAGAGTCGAGAGGGGAGCTGAAGGCTCGGTCAAAGAGAAAACTACACCCCGAAACGCTGGAATTCTCTCCCTCAGTCCCTCCGCCTAGCCCCCTCCCTCCCCACCTTTGAGTCCTTTGATCACTTCCTTTTTGATTGTGCTTATGGTTACTTCCCCCCTCCCTCCCCCCGACTCTTTGTCAGACTCTGCCACTGTGAAGCGTGGCAGGATGCTGCCCTGAGTGAAAACGCTACATAAAATGCAAGTTGTTGAAGTTAGGTGACTATTAGAATGTGCTGCAGCAGTTTGTTCAATTAATTTTTAAATTTTCCTTCAGGAGTCATTTTATAATTTCATTTTCATAGCTAATCAAATAATAATAATACTTGCATTTGACGTCTTCTCGACATCTCAAAGCGCTTCACAAAATAGACTGTAAATTGAATTGACTGTATATTTGTGGGCGAAACACGGCAGCCAGTTGCGCACAGCAGTGTCCCACAAAGAGTCGTGGATTGAAAATGACCAATTTATTATTGCTTTGTTTTGGAGGGATTATTATCAGGCGTATGGAGTAAGGAAACTTGCCCAAGGTTTCGCCCTGCCGGGAATTGAACCCAGGTGTCTCGCTTGCAAGGCAAGTGCTCTAACCACTGAGCTACAGGACTCCTAATCAAAACCCTGTTTTGAGTTGGTTTTATTAAATAGATTGTTTTATTGATCTATTATTATATAATTTAAAATGAAAAATTGTTGCTCTAACTCCTGTCACTCAAAAATATCATGCGATATTCTCTTGTTCAATCCCACTCTTTACCCCAGTCCTACAGACAGCCATCGCACATTTCCACAGTGACTATTAATATAAATCTGAAAGTCAGAGAGAGAAAGATCCACTCACACAAAGTGAAGACTTATACAATGTCCAGGTCCCAGCTTTTAAACAACAAAATTACATTTGTATAGAGCCTTTCAAGTTGGGAGGACATCCCAAGGCGCTGGACAGTCAGTTTCCAACCCAAGCTGGGGGTCGGGATTGGGGCAGGGGGGGAAGGAGGGTGATTAAAAGCACAGTCAAAGAGGAGGGTCTTGAGATGGGTCTTGAAGGAGGTAAGGGAGGGAGCAAGGCGGGGGAACTGTGGGATGGAGTTCCAGAGGGTGAGGGCAGAAGGCCTGCCCATCAATGGTGGGGCGGGCGAGGTGGGGGATGTGAACCAGCCTGAAGCCTGCTGAGCAGAGGGAGCGGGCAAGTTGGTAGGGAAATTAGGAGGGCGCAGAGGTAGGGGCGAGCAAGGCCATGGAGGGCTTTGAAAGTGAAGACCATTCTAATCCTTAAAGATATTCAATAATATTTACAGCCAAAAACAATTCTGTTATTTTTAAAAATCTATTAAGTTTCGTCTGCCTTTTTAGGGTGGTTATTAACATTCCACTTCAAAAACAGAAGGGAGTTTTGCTGGTGTCCTGCCCAATACTCCGCCAGATAAAATTGTTCATTCATATTCACGCGTGGCTGTTTATGGGATATTGCTGTGCACAAATTGGCTGCCGTATTACAGTCATCATACTTTACAGTAAATCCTGTGAAGTGTTTTGAGATGTTTCAATGACGTGATAAGGTGATGTATCAAATGCAAGGATTATGATTGATTATTGTTAGAGTAAGTAGCACTATCTTTAGCACCAAGCGGCCTTCTCTTCTGCTGTAATTTTTATGATTTCCATGTTCTGTTTACAGATCAATCTTGGACTTTTTCCCACATCTTTGCTGAATGTGTTTGTTTTACTGGATGCCAGAAGCTAACAACGAGACAATACTGAAGAAGTCACAAGTGCATCATTGTTACAACCATCAGTTTCCAGTTTAACTGCACAGTTACTTATAAAATTGATCAACAGTACAATTTTAACAAGCTGTTATTGTCTGTAACGTTGCTTGATTTCCCCTAGGCTCGGTTCCTTGAGTCTGTCTTGTTCCATTGTGCTGAGAGAATTTTTGCTCATTGTTACAGAATGACAAGCAGCAGCCTTGATGTGTCAGCAGCAGTCAATAGTCAATTGTGCCCACAAAATATACAGTCAATTCACTTTACACTTTACGCTTCTGTGAAGCGCTTTGACATATCTCGAAGATGTGATAAGTCGCTATTTCAAATTCAAGGATTATTTTTATTAATACATTTGGAAACTGTGCTGGCAGTGTATAGCTTCTTATTCGTTGGTAAAAAAAAACAAAGAATCGCCAAGCAAGGAGGTAAAGGGCTGGTCATAGGCATACATTTTTAAGAGGTCTTTGAAGGTAGGAAGAGAAGGCACAAGTAAATTAATTTTAGTAGAGAGTTCCTGAGAGCAGGGCCATCGTATCTGAAGACTTGATCTCTGTAGAGTGAAGTAAGAACAAGCAGTACACTAGAGATGGAAGAGTGAGTGGGCAGGAAAATAAATTGCTAAGGGAGGGAGGAGTAAGATCATGAAGAGATTTGAAGGTCAAGATGACAATCCTGAAGTTACTCTTCAACAATAACTTGTATTTATATAGCACTCTTCCTGCAAGGTAGCATCTCAGAGCCCTTTTGTGGTAGGGAGAACCAATGCAAAGCTCGGGGTAATGGATGTGCAGAGCCTGATGCAGGAGAGTACAAGGCTGCAGAGTTTATAGAGTGGAACTGAGAGATCTGCCAAGAGAAACTTCAAGATATCTCTTCTCTGTACTCTTTTACAATGTATCACAGGAAGTTCTTTAAAAGAACCAGCTTCGAAATTAAGTCAAATTTTTAAAATTCGATGTGACCTTGAATTCAAGCCAATAAAGATCTTTTAAGCTAAGGTTTGGTGGAATTTGAGTCTCAAAGTGATGAAAGTATGGATAGGAATTTGGCAATGTTAGGATAAGATAAGGATGTTCTTCAAACAGGCGAACTGAAAAAAAGGCGATTTTAGTCAAGGACCGGATGAAAGGTTTGCAGCAGAGCAGAGGATCAAACAAAATGTCATGGCTACACACTAGCCCTAATAACCAGAGCGAAGAGCCAGGGAGCTTGGCAGAGTTGGAGACAGAGACAAGAAGTCATTAATGCAAGCCAAGCAGAACAGCTTCAGTTTTGTTGACATTCAACTGAAGGAAGTTAAGGCTCATCCAGGACCTGGTGTCTGGCAATCAGTCAGACAGCAATGATTCTGGAATTGAATAGAAGAGCACATATATAGGTATAGCTGGGTGTCATTGGTACATATATATATATATATATATATATACAAACACTTGTGTGTCAGCCTGGCTAACTTGTTAGAGCTATCGCCTCTGCGT